TTCTTTTAGTGATAGGAAATTGTCTTGGCTTTTATGTGGAAGATAGTTGGATTATGGGTTAGCCTTTTAAAGTTTTTTCAAAATAAATATGGAATGATACTTTGTGTTTGCCACAGTATTTTGTTTTAGTAGTTAACTTTAAAATTGGGAAATACAGTTTTAAATTACATATATGATTGGTGATAGTCAAGTTATTAAAGTTGGTATCAAATATCAAGTATATTAAAAATACTTTATTGTATGGAAATTTAAATGATATAAAGAATGAGGTTTACACATGGTTGAGAAGGTAAGGTATTAAGGGCTATTTAAAAATGAGGGGGGAGGGTATACCTCAGTGGTAGAGTGCATGCCTAGCATGCATGAGGTCCTGAGTTCTATCCCAGGTACCTCCACCAAAAGAAAGAAATAGATAAATCTAATTACCTCTCTCCTAAAAATAAATAAATAAATATTTTAAAAATGAAAAATGTATGTGGATGGAGGGAATTGACTAGAAAGAACTGGAAGTTGTTTCTCAGATCATAGAAATGTTTTGCATCTTGATTTGCATGGGTGTATACATATATCAGGACTTGTTGAATTGTGCACTAATATCTGTGTTTTTCACTCTTTGCAGATTTTACCTCAAAAAATGTGTTTTGAACCATAGCTGTGAACCTTCCAACAGTTTTCCATAGTCTTTTTTAAAAATTGTTATTACTGTAATCTGAGTTTTTATCCTACAGCCTACAGATTTCATTATTTTAAAACTTTTTAATATTCATATTTCTTTTTTTTACATTCATATTTCCTTAACTAAATGGAACTTGGACTAGTTTAACATCACCTTAGTGTAAAGCCTTTGTAGACTTTTGTTGCTGCAGAATAAATCAAGCCCAAAAGAGCTTGAACAGTTACATAAAAAATGCTGGTAAATAGGCTATTTTTCTGAGTGTTTTTCCTTCTTTTAAGTTATAAATACATGTGGTTTATAGCCTGCAAATTTATTAGGAATCATGGTTGTGTATTTATACATGGCACATGATTTGGAAGGATAATTATCAGAACTTGAGAGTAGATTACAGAATACTTTGTCTTAAAAGTTAATCAGTTATTCTTATTTTCGGTCTTATATATGACTAATTGTCATATGCATCAATTTCCTATCACTACTGTTTACTAATTATCACAACCTTGTTGGTTTAAACAATACAAATTGATTATTTCAACAGTTCTGGAGATGACAAGTCTAACACATGGGTCTCAGTGAGTTAAATTAAGGTGTGATTAGAGCTATGTTTTTTTCTGGAGGCCTTTTTTTTTTTTTTTAACTAGTTTTTAGAAGCAGCCCACAGTCCGTGGCTCATGATCCTCATCCTCCTTAAAAGCCAGCAACAAAACTGTATTCTTCTGTAGTCACATCATCCTCTTGACTCTTCTGCTTCTTTCCTCTTATTTTAAGTGTCCTTATCATATTGGGCCCACCCAGATAATCCAGGATAATCTCCCCATCTGCTTATTAACAGCCTTAATTCCATTTGAACCTTAATTTTCCTTTGCCATGGGATATAACATAGTTACAGGTTTCATGAATTAGGACATGAGCATCTTTGGGGTGGCATTCTGCCCACCACACTATTGTAGCAAAAATATTTTTTACAATACGAACATACATGATTTGATACAAATTAAAATAAATTTAGGCTAAAATTGATTGTATTTTTTCATGCCGTGAGTTTTAGTGGTATCACTATCTGATTTCTTTAGTAAATGAACTTAACTGGTAGAAACTTTACTCAACTATGCTTGGATAATTTCACGTATTTTGTTGTTGACTTTAAAAAAGTTGCCTGAAAATCTTCTAGGTTATCTTGGAATTACATTAATCAACGAAAGACTTTGAACGCTTTTTATTCAGGAGGACCAAGTTGTTGAAGAAACTGAAATACATAAAATTTATTGTGAGTCCTCAGCATATAGGGTTCTTTTTTTAGCTCCATTATTTAGAAAGGTTCTTGCATTGTTACGTTTGCTGAACATTTATTAGTGCCTTAGTTTTTTGAGGAACATTTCTAGAAGGTTGATAGTATTATAGAAGGAAAGCTGACAGTTGAGTATTGTTATGTAATATTCATCCTTGAATAATATTGTTACGCTAATTAAAGAGCAAATATTGATTTACTCTTTACTCATTTTACTTCATTTGCACAACTTAACAGCCATTTATTTTCTTACCTATTTATCGATCCATTCAGTAACTTACCTACCATCTCTTGAAGTTTAATGTAATTGCATCGTTTAGAGTGAACCCTGTCTAAAGTGTGAGTATTTTTTTAAAAAAAACTATCATGTTTTTTCAGTAACTAAAAGGAAGAAAAAATTATATTGTGTTTCATAGACCAAACATATATTTGCTTTTATTTGGAGGAGCTTTCTGGAAGGTCACTTAGTGAAGAGTAGCTAACCTTGAAATGCAGATTTTAAACTATTCTCAACCCTGTGATACCTTCAGATTAAAGTTACTTTACAGATCTTATGTGCATATAAAATTTTTTAAAATTTATTTAGGAGCTTGAAATGATTTATTGATTATTTGTTCATAAGGAAGCCCTTTTCCATTTTAGTACTTTTTCTGCTTAGCTGTCTCTTCATTTAAGTTTCATATTGTGTTGGTAACATTTGATTCCTTTATAAGTTTTGTTAGGATAATACTTTAGGTGAGTCTGA